CCGCTTTGATGAAGTTCGTTTACCTCTTCATCCAGGGCAGGCGACGGTACCACCGTCCTGACGTCAGTGAGGCTGGGCTTACACAGGATGGGTTCCCGCACGTTTTAATGCTCAACAGGTGTGAGCCTGGCCAGCACCTGGATGGGAGACCTCCTGGGAAAGCTAAGGCTACTGCTGGAAGAGGTGTTAGTGGGACCAGTAGGAGGCGCTCTGTGTGGGTCCTAATGCACCAGTATAGTGATGGGGACACTTGTACTGTGAAAAGGCGCCGTCCTTCGGATGAGATGTAAAACTGAGGTCCTGACTCTCTGTGGTCATTAAAAATCCCTGGGTGTTTCTCGAAAAGAGTAGGAGTGTAACCCTACTGACCTGTCCTGGGCAAATTTCCCCCCTGGCCTTTACCAGTCATGGCCTCCTAATAACCCCCCTCTCTGAACTGGCGTCACCACTCTGCTCTCCTCCCCACTGAGAGCTGGTGGGGGTGGAGGGGATTCCCTATTGCCCGTGAAGCTGTACTTTGTGTGGAGAGTCCAGGAAAGCGCTATAGAAGTTTGAGGAATGTTATTGGGTGACCATTAATCCGAGTTTGTCCGTTGCAGATGAGGTTGGTGCCCTGGTCTTTGATATCGGCTCTTACACGGTGAGAGCAGGGTACGCAGGAGAGGACTGTCCCAAGGTAGGACGCCCTGTCCGCAGATCAATGAAGTTGCCTGATTTAAGGGGTGAATCGAGGGGCCCCCCCGGAGGAGCGCCCCTGACGGCCGCGCCTGTCCTCTGCTTGTGCGCCCGCAGGCGGACTTCCCCACGGTCATCGGGGTGTCGCTGGACCGGGAGGACGGCACGGCGCCCATGGAGACAGAGGGGGACAAGGGCAAGCAGGGCACCACCTACTACATCGACACCAACCAGCTGCGCGTGCCCCGCGAGGGCATGGAGGTCATGTCCCCGCTGAAGAACGGCATGAGTACGCCCCGCTCGGGGGTGGGGGGCGGTACCGAGCCATCAAGGCCCTGCTCGGGGGTGGGGGGCGGTACCGAGCCATCGGGGCCCTGCTCGGCCTGGTGGGGGGAGGTGCCGGGTTTGAGCGGTACTGAGCTATCAGGGCTCTGGCTCGGCTCGGCCCGGCTGGGGGAAGGGGGGGATTTGGTACCGAGCCGTCGGAGGCCCCGCTTGGCCCGACTGGTGTGGGGTGTGGGGGTACCGGGCCATCAGGGTGGCCAGAAGCAGCGAGGCCTCGTGAGCACGCAATTGAGCACCGAACGGGCGCTGCAGAAGCAGGAACAGAGCGGACACGGAGCCAGGCTAGAGCTTGGGGCCGGGCCGGGCCAGTTCGGGGTGGGTGTGAGGTGGTCCAGCTGGGAAGAGCTTCCTCTGGGGTCAGTGAAGGGAAGCGGCGGCTGGCTGGGCGCTCAGCAGCGACGTGCGTGTTGGGTGGACACAGTCCAGGGTGACTTCAGCTGGAATAAGGAGCTCAGTGCAATAAGGCGAATAGCAGGGTCATCCTTAGCCCTCCGTGTTCGTCGCTGATGGCGTAGGGTTAATTGTCCAAGCACCAGGATACCCTGGTTTTGCTGCTCTCTCTCTGCTGGCTAGGCCTGCCCCTCAGTTGATGTGGAAGGAGAGAGAGCACTTGTCTTCGTATTTCATTATCTGTGCGCTTGGAGAGGTAGTCCTTTCTTGCTTTGAAAAGGTCAGTTTGGACTACAAAGATCTTCTGTATAGGAGGATGGTGACGATGCTATTTGAACACAGTGCCGTGGTCTCCTGGAGTTCATCTCACCCGCAGGACAGCCGCCAGTCCTGTGCTGAGCCGAGTGAACGGGTGAACTTGGTTTTTGAGTACTGGTTCCATTTCAAGTCTCGGGCCTACGAAACGTGCTGGCTTGTGTCTTGTAAGGGTATGATGGTTCACCCACCTGGTGTCCTCTGGGGTGGTCCGAGCTGTTCGTTTGAGGCGGAGTGTGATTGTACTGGGTCTGCTGCCTCTTCAGGTTGAAAGCTGAGCTTCCGACGGTGGCTCTCGCTCTGAAGCCAGCGGGGGGCCGGTAGGTAACTGGGTGTTTCTGGTCTCCCTCTAGTTGAAGACTGGGACAGTTTCCAGGCCATTTTGGATCACACCTACAAGATGCACGTCAAGTCGGAGGCGAGCCTCCACCCCGTGCTGATGTCCGAAGCCCCGGTGAGTCAGTCCGCCAGCACGAGCACGGGTCCGAGCCCGGGTTTGAGCTTCCTGCGGGGCCGGGCGGGGCAGAGCAGCGCTGCTCTGTGACTCGGTGTGGCTCCGTGGCTCAGTGCCGTGAGATACGATTGTAAGGGGCACGAACGAGAGGGGACGGTGCGGTCCATCTGGTCCATTACGTAGTTTTTGGTTAACGGAATCTCATGCAGCTGTGTCCTGAAATGAACCAGAGTATCCGCAGTATAGCAGGGCAGCTTGTTGCAGACTTCCGCAACCCTCTGTGTAAAGAAGCCTCCTGACTCTGGTTATAAATGCTCTTCCCCGCGGTTTTGACTTCTGTCCTCCAGTTCATGATTCACTGTTGGTTTTGCAGAAGCCTGTTTGGTTGGCTGCCTCCCCTTGTTATGTTCTCTGCTCAGGTCTAAAACGGACATCGTCGTGCCTTGGGAACAATGCACCATGTGTTATTAAACTGTACGTAAAGGTTAATATTAGGCGACTTGGTCTAAAAACATCTTAAAATTTTCAAGATATGTTACCGACAATGCGTGGCATCTGTTTCTCCTACATCTCGTGTAAAACCAGATTGCACTCTTATCGTATGGTATCGCTTTGTACTACGTTTTTTTTTATTTTTCTTTTTTAAATACAACAGTGGAATACAAGAGCAAAGAGAGAGAAGCTGACGGAGCTGATGTTCGAACATTACAACATCCCTGCGTTCTTCCTGTGCAAAACGGCCGTGCTGTCGTCGTATCCTTTCTGTGATGCTCCCCGTCTCAGGGGACGAGCTGCTGCAGCCCTGGGGGGCACCGGGGCCGCCCCGCCCCCGGCCCCCCAACGGCCAAGAAATAAAAAAGGCCCGGAACAAGGGAAAAAAAAAAAAGCCGCCTTAAGCCTTCCAACAAAAAAATTAAACTTTTTTTTTTGGCAGAAATGCCTGTTTTTGCTTTCTCGTGGGGATTTTGAATAGATTGTAACATTCAGAGCGCAAGGCCTCAAACTCTTTCCTTAGGGTTCCTCCCAGGCTGTTTTACTGGGTGGACTCGCTGTGGGGTTTGTTTAAATGAGCAACGTCGCGCGTTGAAAACCTTGCAGCACATCGCATATCTCGCTCGTACCCAGTATCGCATCTTTTTTCCCCTCCTGGGACGTGTTTTTGAAGAGGTGCGACCTGACCCTTAACCCCCCGTCCAGGTTTGCAAACGGGCGCTCGACCGGTCTGGTGCTGGACAGCGGTGCCACGCACACAACGGCCATTCCAGTGCACGACGGCTACGTGCTCCAGCAGGGTAAGGCGGCCGCCGCGGTCTGCGGGCCTGCCCTCCGGGCGGTGCTCTGTCCATCCCGGGAGTCGCTGGGCTCAGGCCTGGAGAGAGCTCGACGCCCGCGCAGCGAGACAGAGCCTGCAGGTGCAGTACGCAGGGTCGAGCTTGCTCTGGGATTGCTCTGAGCCCTGACTGGTTTGTAACGATCATTCCAGACACGTTGAAATTGGAATCTGCCTCTCAAACGGTTAGATTGCAGCAGGAAGCTGACGGCTTTGATTTAGAACTGCTGTGAAATTTAAAAAAGTACAGGAATATTATTTACAAAGAAGACGAGAAGGCTCATTGAGGGGGGAGGCATTTTCTGTGGGGGTACGCTGAGAATCTCCTCTTCTTTCAGGTATCGTGAAGTCGCCTCTGGCGGGGGACTTCATGAGCATGCAATGCCGGGAGCTCTTTCAAGAAATAGGTGTTGAAATAGTTCCTCCTTATATGATTGCTTCAAAGGTGAGACCTGATAAAGTAAGTCTAATCCATTCCTACGCTTCATTTTTGGGTGTTTTTGTTTTTTGCAAACATCATGGTGGAGGGTTTTGTAAGTATTTTGTGACCAGTCCACGGTGCATGTGTCTCTGTGTGTGTGCAGCTTTGGGAAAACTTGTCGTGTCTCCCCCCACGGACTGAGTTAGTTCAACCACAAGCGTCAAGGAGTGGCAATTAGGTCCTAAAGTTGTGGTTAATTCTTGGTCCACAAAGGGTATCGGGCATACTTTCTAACCAAGGACTGCCCTAGCTTCATGTGGCTTTCACCTCAGGAGAATAGTTCTCCTAAACAGGATGAAGGTGTTCTTACCTTGTTTCAAGAGCAGTATCAGATGGACAGCTGTTTTGAGCTGCTCTTTTGGAGCTAGAGGTTTGCTTCGGCGCCTGGAGTGTCGTTCACGACACACTGGTGACTCCCACTTCAGCTGGAGGATCATCGCTGCACTGAGATTCACATGTCTGACTGTCTGTGAGGGTGATGTAACCACTCTGCCTGTACATCAATATTACATGCTACACATGCACAGGTACAGTATTTCACCTGTATAAATGAGTACAGGCTACAAACGCACATACTTAATGTAATTTCCATCTTAACGTTTTTCATTTCATATAGGTCGAGTCTCCTGGTATCTGCTGATTCTTTGCTCTTCAGATTGCCATTTTCCGTGTGAAGTAAGGTGTACATTAGGAGTGGCTTCTGAAAACGTATTCGTGCTGCGACACTGCAGGGCTTTATTCTGCTTGAACTCTGTCTCCTCCCTGTCAGTCAGCTGTGAGCCGTGTTTTCTCCAGCCGCATGGTGTGGAATACTTCATCAAAAAGATGAGTTCATCTGATAAAGGATGTGGAGTAAATGAATTTGAACAGCTGTTCCGAGTTGTTAGATTTTTTTTGTGTTGATTATACTTCAGCTGCTCCTGTTTGTCTCGCATGAAATCTGTCAATTTGAGTTATAAAACATGCACATTATATTGTTGCCACATGCTGACTTGTCTTAAAAAAAAAAAAAACATTAAATTCCCCCAAGTCTCAAGACTTTTTTTGTGGGTGTAATGTGCACGCATCGGTCTCGGCTCGTACAGACTGACAGCAAGGCCTTCCTCTGCAGGAACCCGTGCGGGAAGGAGCTTCTGCCAACTGGAAGAAGAAGGAAAAACTACCTCAGGTCACCCGTTCGTGGCACAACTACATGTGCAACGTAAGCGCCCGGCTCTGCAGCACCCTGTGGGCCCTGGCCTGTGACCAGCTCCGCTGCGTCCTGCGGTGCCCGTTTGTCCTGCTCGCGGCAGGAGGCGCCAGAGGAGTCCAAGTGCACAGTGCAGGAAGGTCCTATAGGTCTTTCAGGTCCTTCTCTGTGGGTTTGGCCCGTCTAGTTTTAGTTCCAGGCCTTTTCCGTCTCTGCCCTGCATGCAAAGATCTCTGATACACGCACTGCATCCTTTCCGTATCTGATGAGCGGCTCTCTTCAGGGTTCGAAGGGCTCATCAGTTAGTCATTTGGTTTAGTCATTGGGCTCGGAAACGGATACTAAAACTGGCCTGGAATAATCACTTTAGAGCCGTGCGTGTCACTGTGTGAGCGGCGCAAGCAGTATCTGTTGCGCCGTTTACAGATGACTGATCGCTGTGTTTTCCCTTCAGACTGTGATCCAGGATTTTCAAGCCTCAGTGCTGCAGGTGTCCGATTCTCCATACGATGAACAGTAAGTCCGGGCATTCGTACTTTCCAAGTCCTGCTGGAGCTTGGGTTGCCAAGGATGGGCCGTTGGCTGCTGGCTTTGAGAATGAGAGTCGCAGCGACTGGGCTCTGTTGTAACCGCGGAGCACCGTGTACGGGTCTGTGCCTGCTGTCGTCCTGATTCCCCCTCGAGTCGAGCTGCAGATTTCACGTCCTCTCCGCAGGGTTGCAGCTCAGATGCCCACGGTGCACTACGAGCTGCCCAACGGCTACAACTGCGACTTCGGCGCCGAGCGGCTGAAGATCCCGGAGGGCTTGTTCGACCCCTCGAACGCCAAGGTGAGCCCCCTGCCGCGTTTCGAGGTGAGCGCCTGGCCGCGCCCGCGTCACGCCCTCATCCTCGCTGCCGCCTCGTTCCAGGGCCTGTCCGGGAACACCATGCTGGGCGTGGGGCACGTGGTCACCACCAGCGTGGGGATGTGCGACATCGACATCCGGCCGGTGAGTGGCGCCGCCGAGAGCGGAGTGCAGAATCTACTGGAGCTTGGGTTCGCTGGGGGGGTTCGCTGGGGAGGGGGGAGTGACGATGAGCAAGGGGAAAGTGCGAGGGGGGAGTTCCGATAAGGCTGCATGTCCGTGTGTTGACGGTTATTCTGCTAGATCTCCCAGGAACTGGCTGGCTGAGCTAGCTGCAGGAAGCAGAGCGAGCGAGATGGTTCTTCTGTTCTGAAGGGGGTAGATTCTTTTAAAGACTTGAACCTCTCTGGGGGAAGCGTTCCCCGTAATCTGGGCGCGCAGGCGTTGACGGCTCCGTGTCTGCTTGCTCCTGTGGCAGGGCCTGTACGGCAGCGTGATCGTTACCGGAGGAAACACTCTCATCCAGGGCTTCACGGACCGCCTGAACCGCGAGCTCTCCCAGAAGACCCCTCCCGTGAGTGCAGAGCGCGACTATAGCGAACACGCTGATTGGACTTCGTAAATCCCTGCCATTGAGTGGGTCTGCCCGAGACAGCCCTGTACCCCGGTGAAGAGGGTTCCCCTTTTTTTTTCCCCCTCAGAGCATGCGCCTGAAGTTGATAGCCAACAACACGACGGTGGAGCGCAGGTTCAGCTCCTGGATCGGAGGCTCCATCCTGGCATCGCTGGTGAGTGGAGCTGCTGTTGCCCTGGGGTTCGGGCTCCTGGGTGGCTCACTGGCGTTGGGCCCCGTGGCCCAGGTGCGGTCAGTTGGGTCTAAGTGACGGTTGTTCGAGTGGCGCCATGCAGTTGGCACTGCGTGCCCGGGGCAGGGTGGCATTAATCAGTTCTTTCCGGTCGGGCGCAACGTAGCTGCCAGCGTGTCGCCCGACGAGCGTGTCAGTTCCAGTTCTCCCTCAGCGGTGCAGGACTGTAGCAGCAATGCCAGGTGTCAGTAACCCGTTAACCCACCCTGGGTTTGCATAACACAAGGGCAATTCTAAACTCGGTAAGAGCGTGGTAAAAGCGCCACTGTTTTGTTGCTCTCTGGAGATGAGATGGTAGAGCAGAGAAATATTTCTTTCAGTTGAGTGCAGGCGAGCAGAGAAATATTTCTTTCAGTTGAGTGCAGGCAGGCACGTTTGTAGTGGGAAGTGGAGGGACTTTGAACCCGATTAGAACGTGCACTGTTTTTCGTGGAATAATTTTCAACTGCGCAGTGTCTTCTCATAGAAGTTGAGGAAGCAGAGTTTTTACACGTGGGGACCCCCCTAAGAGAATCCCTTTGGCGCGGGCCTGTGCAACGGGGGAGAAAGCAACCTCCAGTCCTCTGCAGGACCCCTCCTGTGTGGAACAGAGGGCTGCAGAAGCTCGTTCATCTTCGGTTACTTCTTTCTGCAGGGGACTTTCCAGCAGATGTGGATATCGAAGCAGGAGTATGAGGAAGGAGGAAAGCAGTGTGTTGACCGAAAATGCCCCTAATGCCACTTCTACCACCCCTCTACCTTAACAGACAAAACGCCACCTCCGAGCTTAGTCCAGCCCTTCCCACAGTACTCAGGAACACCAAGGACACTTGCAATTTTGTAGTTTTTTTTCCCCTTATTTTATACATATGTAATTAAAATGGCTTTCTTTGTATTTTTATGTAGAAAACATTTGTGGCGCACATATTGTACAATCACTGTACAAATAGGTTTTTGCTATTTTCTTACGTTGAAGACAAACTACTGTTAAAAAACATAGTTTTATCAAATCTTCCATTTTTATTTTAAAAAAAGGCTTTTTCTAAGCCTCTTTTGATACCAAACAGTTTGTGATGACAGAACTAAAGTACATACAAGCAGTTTGGAAATAAACTTTTTTTTTAAAGAGATTGATTTTCTTCATGTAGTATATTCACCACAGTTTAATATTGTGTTCCAGATTACAACACTCCGCTGTTCCAACAGTTTTGCAAAGTTGGGACTGAACAATTAAATGAATTGAACATATGTGAAGATAGTGTAAAAAATACCAATTTTGAGTTAGGCACTATACACCATATGTCTAATTTATAGTGTACTGTTAGTGACAAAAGCCTGTAATGTCACGTTTTCTTTGAACAGTCTCCATGCTTTTGGAAATAAGGTGAGCCCTGCTTGAAATCAGTTTTGCCAGCATATACAGTGACGTTCCATCTCTTATTTGGTGAAAGCCTGCCCCCTAGAGATCAGATCAAGCTTTGCCTAGAATGTAAAGGTAAAACATGTGAAACAGTTCAGGTGGGTAGCTGCGTCAGCATGCAGAGGCTGCAAAGGAGCAAGCAATAGGTTAATTCCATGCTGAGAAGAGAGAAAACACAACGTATTGGCTGTGAAGCCTTCTTCTCTCTTCAGCATGGAACAAACCTATTTCTCGTTCCTTTACAGGCTGTCGGAATCATTCATAGACATCATCTACAACACTTCTCACAATCCGGACAGTAATTTGTTATAGAAGCTCAGGAAAGAAACTGGCAGTTTTTATGTGATTTAGTTTTTACCCTATTAAATAAGAAAAAAACAATATCCAGACTTTGATCAGTTGTAACAATTTCAATACAGTATATTTACAAAAGACTAACAATTACTAAGGTAAGGTTTTCACCCCACGACCTTCAACAAAGTCCCCTGCCACACAGAGTTGATGCCCAACCTCTCAAGCCAGACAAGATGTACAAAACACTAGATTTTACAATGCTTGCCCTGTGCAACAGTCATCACGTGGTGTGGCTCTGTGGTGACATGTCTTTTCTCCGTGATCTCGACTAATCGAAGTAAAAAAGCACGTCATCGTGAAAACCTCGCTGGCCACGTCACCTATCCGATGCTGAAAGCGGCTGGTTATGGGAAAATGTACAGTTACAACTTTGCAGCCTGTTTGGGAAACTTCTCCCTGAGTTTCAGCTGCTTGTCAGCCTCCATTTTCTTCTTCTTGTTGCCGATACGCAGGCGCTTTTCAATGCGAAGCCTAAAGGAGAAACACAAAGAGGCAAGTTGACGCTTTTTCATTCTTTAAACCAGGGGTCTTGACTACAGCTCCTGGAGAGCCAGGTGTCGCCTGGCTTTTATTCCCCACCAGCTCTGGGGAACAGCTGCATAACTAATACTTCTAACCACAATGAATGGGTAACTATATTTTTAAACACACGAATGCCTTGTGTTAAGAACATTTAAAGACCTTGAGGGAAAAAAACCTTCCCTATAGTTAATTTAGACGATCGCTAGGCTAGCAGTTGTTGACTCTCAGGCTGTTAGAGGAAGCAGAAGGCAAGGCCCTGCAGTACAGAGCACGTCAGCTGGCCGACCTGAACAACTGCACCCCTCCTATACTGTCCCTTTCAACCAGGACACGGGCTGTGTTACACCTCTCAACTAGGGAGGGTTTGAGTCATCATCTGTACGAGGCCTTGAGGCAAGAAAAGCCTACACGTCCAAAACAGAATTTGGTTAATTGTTGAAAGGGGAACTCACGTTGGGATAAAAAAAACAAACGACACTTGACCCTACAGCAATTTAGACGGAGACCCCCTTATAGGCATTATGGCAAAGTTAACGTTTATCATTTTGAAGCACACTGAACAGGATTTGCTGAAGGTTATTTCTCATTGTCTGCCGAAAGAAATTTGGAAGCCGTATCAACAGTGCAGACGCTAGCCTTCTACAGGAGCAGAACTGCCTGGGACTTTCAGTCCTTGGACCCTAATGCCATTGGGAATCTGGCATTCAATGGACCTGTTATCCCAAATCCTAACCCGTTTTCCGCAGAATCCCTAATCCTAGAAGTTGGGCTTCCAACTAAAGTATATAATCGCAGAAGGCCACAGACGTGGAGCATATCAGGCTGAGGCAGAGCGAAAAAACTCCGTCTATCGTACACAGCGAGGCTGCACTCACCTTATGAAGTGACTGACGAATGGAGGAGTAAAGAAACGTTTCCTTGTGTATCTTCTGTTCATATACCAGGGAATTGCCCATTCCTTAAATCTGTACCTGAGGAATCGAGACATAACTCCCTCAGCACAGTGTAACAGGTAAGGACCGGAACAATGTGAAGTTAATACATGACACCTTGAGTTAACACAAAGCGAACATGTAAAACAGAGGAACCTTCCATTCTTTTTCTAACCATTTCGTCCAGTTCAGGGTTGCAGGGAGCTGGAGCCTATCCCCGCAGGAAATGGGCGCAAGGCAGGACACACCCTGGACGGGATATCGGTCCATAGCAGGGGGGCACACAGACACAATCACACATTATCACAGCAGCCAATTAGCCTATCAGCATGCCTTTGGACTGTGGGAGGAAACTGGGGCACCTGAAGGAAACCCACAGGCAGAGGAAGAACATACAGACTCCACACAGACAGACTCCACATGGACAGCACCCCAGGTCTGGAATTGGACTCAGGGCCCCAGCCCTGCAAGGCAGCAATGCGGACCACTGCGCCAAGCAACTGAGGAGCCCTGGACTCCAAAAGCCACTGTGACAGCACAAGGAACAGCGCGCGTTTGCTCAGAGTCGGCGTCTTCACACCCCCACAGCCCCACGCTTCCTCTCTGGGGCCTCAGCGCCGACACGACAACCGGGCAGCGTGGAGAGAGCCTTACCAGTAGGTCCAGCCGAAGACGTGTTTCCTCCAGGCCCCCGGCCTGGCCCTCTCCTGGCCGGTCTGCAGCAGCCTCAGCGCGTCCTCTCGCTCCTTCACCACGGTGTCCAGCCTGATCATGGACCGCTCGACCTGCAGCAGAGCAACAGCTGCCCCCTTACTACCTTACTAATCACAGGGCTGTGTGAGAAAACACACACGTTGAGCCTTAAATATCTGGACCTTTTTGTGTTGGCTAGCCAAGTAATCCTGAACTGTACCAGTGTCCTCCATCTCAGTGACGCAGTGATACAGTTATAAAAGGGCTGTCTCATGGTGTTTGTATAACAGTCAGGCCACTGCCCTGGGTCTCAAGTCTTCAGAAGCCAGGCGCACAGCGTACTGGGAAGTTGTTTCTGCACAGGGAGCTGGACACTTGCCTGGGCTCTACAGCTCAGCAGAAGACCTCCCCGAGACGCTCAGGGCTCAAATTCAGACTCTAGCTCCGGTTACACTTACTTTCTTTAAGCGTTCAGGACTCGGCATCTGAGTTCTCTGTCTCTTGGCCTCCTGTTCCACAGTCAGAAGCATGTTTTTCTCTTTAAGCAGCACATACCTGCACAGACAAGACAGTCTTAAGCAACAGTATGTTCTTCCTCGCCACCAAATGTATGAAGGATGAAAACGCACTGCAATCGTAATCGAACTCCGCTGGTAGTTCTCATTAAAGGATGAACAGTAGCAGGCAACAGCGGTGGATGCGTGTGTGAGCCCCGGTCTGATTTACCACAGCTTGTGCAAGTCTTCGTTGCTTTTTGTCCGTAGCTGCTTTGCAGTCCATGGTGCTCCTGAGGGAAAACAGTGTAATAAAATTCGAGTCCACAACCGATAAAAAAAAGCTAACAGGCAAGACTGCAGTACAGTCACATTGGAGACGCGCTCGAGGTGTCAATCCTGACTGAAATCAAAAAGGATTTACTGGCAAACAGCCTCGCAATCTCAGCGTTAGATACAGGTACTTCTGGAAACAAAAGGCAAACATCACATCTGCATGACAAACACATCTAATAGGGGATCCTGAATAAAGCCACGTACAAGTAACAATAAGGCTACGATACTGAAAGCAAAATAGAAGCGCGCCTAGCTTCTAATTCATGCAATCAATCTTGGATGACAACTGTATGCAGCGTGTATTCAAGAACAGATACAAACAAAGTGTCACCCACTAGCCGCCCTAAAACTAAAATAAAACAACGTATTCTAGTAGTTCAGGTGGGTAGCTGGGTCAGCATGCGTAGGCTGCAAAGGAACAAGTAATAGGTTTATTCCATGCTGAAAAAAAGAAGAAAGAGAGTGTGAAGGTGTGTGAAGAAGGCTCCACGGCCGAAACGTTGTGTTCTCTTTCTTCTTTTTTTCAGCATAGAATAAATCTATTACTTATTCCAATGTATTCTAATGTTGAGATAGTCTGAGGTGAAAACCACCGAGTAAATTCGGATATATTAAAGCCCAAGAACTCTGCTATAAAGATTTTTGCACTCGCTGTAAATAAAATGCCTCTGGACTTAACTGCAACACCAGGACTTAATGTTAAACGCGACTGAAGCACAGGGCTGTTCCAGCTGGCGGTTCTGACCGCACTCGGACCCGGGGCGGGTCGGCTCACCTGATTTTACAGTGGGCGCTCCCCAGTTCTGCGGGGAATCAAAAAAATCCTCAAGACCCCGTCGGCACTGGGACGCGTGGACTGCCCGGCACTGCTTAGCAAGACCGGTCCCCACACTGCTCCGAAGAAGGGTGTGGGCATTTGCACTTGAAGAAAGAGGAGAAACAGGGGGGTGCATCACTTCTGAACAGTTCTATCACCAGTACAGCGTGCAGTGGATGAGAGGCTTCATTTGCAACCAGACACAGGCTACACCTACAAATAACAGTCGCAACGCTGCGTTACCTGAGAGGATGCAGAGACAGACTGTTCGGGGGAAAAGAAGCATGCCGAACCGAACAGACCCCGAGCCCCTTCTGAAACTGCCTGCAAAGTGACAGAACTCGCCCCAGCGAGGTCGCAGCCATCTTGGAAATGACCTTTTACCCGGCGTGCAACGCTGTGTCATTTTTGTCCGGAACTCGTCACGTGTAGTTAATTGCATATTTAGGAAATTAATTACCTCTTGTTACTGATTGTGAAAAGGTGTAGGGCGACGAGAGCAAAATAAATATATACAGAAATAGATGTGAAAAATAAAGTCTGCTGCCCTGAGTAAAGATGGCGCTCTGGCCGTTACTGCCGTGCTGAAGTCCGATCATCGACTTCCTGCCGTCCGCTTTGCCCTTAACAGCCATGGTGGGCATGAGCGTCCTGTCGTCTGCGGCTGCATTTGCAGCAAGATTGAATGTATTCAAATCCGGGTTTTCGAAAGGGAATTTTCTCTTCAGGACTGTCCCACGAATAGAGAACGGTAAGAAAACTCACTGAGTCTTCTAGTGGCTACGATGATCGCCTTAAAAATGCAGTCTGCTAGTTTTGACCTTGTGATTCTGTACCTCAAAAGCGAATGACCTGACATGGGTTATTATCTGTAAAACGGCCTGTAATTTCAATATTAAAAGCTGTAGGAAAGTTGGTGAATTTATTTTGATGCTTTATCGTGCCGGTGGATGTGTTTCGTAAATCGATTGCTGTGGCGTAGATAAATCGTATTGTGTGAGTGGGAATCATTACGTTTACGTTTTATTTTTGTTTGCTTCAAGATGGCGGCCGGAAAGCTCGCTCCGCTACAAACTGCTACTATGTTTTACCTTTCTGTTGTTTTTGTTTGTCAGATTTAAAGTTTATGTCAAATTAAAGATTTATGACACTTTAGCGAGCACGTTAATGGTGTCATTGTCCACCCGCACGCAATTCCAAAAGAATTGCTTATAACCGACATACCTGGTTGTATCGATACATTGGGGATGCACCTGCAGCAGGTAGACAGGTAGAAGATCCGGCGTCCGTGCTAAGTCCAGGAGACGACCCTACCGTCTCCTGCTGTCGAATGTCCGATCGCTCAGGAACAAAACGGACGAGCTTTTAAACCTTATCCAAACCGAGAAAGATTTTAAGAAATGCTCAGCCATCTCACGGAAACCTGGCTGAACCGAACGCTCCCGGACTCGGCCGTGACCCCTCTCCATCTCCAGAGCCAACAGGTCGGCAGAGCTTTCTTTAAAAACTCGTGGAGGCGGCATCTGGTTCATGGTGAATCGGCTTTGGTGCACGAGTGTTTCCGTGCTGCTTCTGTTCATCGTACATTGAATTCCTCAGCACAAGGTGCAGAATTTTTTTTTCCTGCCCAGAGAGTTTGCTTCTGTTGTTATCGGCGATTATATTCCACCACAAGCAAACGCGAACTCGGCGATCTGTGAGTTAGCGCAACATTTTTTTTATTGCAAGGTCTCGTCCGGATTCTGTTATAGTTTTTAGGGGATTTTAATCAGGCCTGCTTGTCTGACGAACTAACAAACTATAAACAGCAAGTGGATTGTTATAGCCGAGAAAACAAGACACTGGATCCTTGCTACGCTGTTTCCTGAAGCCTCCCGCGTTTTTCCCCACGCAACGCTCGGTAGATCCGACCACGCTCCCCTACTCTTTATTCCGTCGTAAAAATAAAAAGTTAAATCCAGTAAACCTAAAAATGTTACTGTTAAGTCGTGATCGGCGGAGGCCATTGAGATGTTGAGGGACTGTACTGACTGGGACATGTTCAAAGCCACGTCTAAAACCATTGACCAGCACGCTGATGTTGTGTCATCTTGCATAAACTTTTGTGAAGAATTGTCTGTTTCTAACAAAACATTGACTTTGTAGAATAACAAACCCCGGTTTTCGAAAGAGGTGCAACTGCTGTACTGAGCAACTGAGTACGAAAAACTCAGCCTCCATCAGTGGGGATAACGTACAGTATAAATCAGCAACATATAAATTGCACACAAACAATAAGGATAGCTGAATCATACTATGCCCAAAAGATTGATCCTCGGTTTAAATCAGACATCAGTATGGTATGGAAGACCCTACGGAATATGACAAAGTACAAAAAGCCTACAATATCCCTACCAGAAGACAACACGGAGCTCCCACAGAGGGTTGACGGGTTTTGTGCACGCTTTAATAAATTAAACACATCACACACACACACACAAAAATAAATAAAAAGAAGGCTGCAGGCCCTGATCACGTAAGCCCTGCTGTGCTCAGCCGGCTCCAGTGTATACAGCTAATTTCAACAGCTCTCTTAGTTTACGTGAAGTGCCACAGTGCTTTACAGTGGCAATGGTAATTCCAGTACCAAAGTCCTCCAAACCAGGTTGTCTCAATGATTACAGACCTATTGCCCTAACATCTGTGGTTATGAAGACATTCGAGCGTATTGTCCTGCACCTCCCGACGGCTGGACCGACTACAGTTTGTCTACCGGGCATGCCAATAGGTCTGTGGAAGACGCCATCAAATTGGTCCTCTACTATACACTACAACACCTAGAGCATTCTGCTCATAGACTTCAGCTCTGCTTTCAATACTATTAACCCTCTTAAACTTTTCAATAAACTAATTGATATGGGCATCAACCCTGCAACGTGCCACTGGCTGCTGGATTTCCTGCAATGCAGACGTCAGGCAGTCAAGGTGAATGAGTTTACCTCCCATCCTCTGCCCATCAACACGGGCGCGCTGCAAGGCTGTGCACTCTCCCGACTTCTCTCCTCCTTGTTCACAAACAGCTTCACAGCACAGTACTGTCAAAATCCACAAATACGCAGATGCAGGTACGCAGACGCCACCATCATCGGGCTCATGACTAGAAACAGTGAAGCACAGTGTCAGCTGGAAGGAGATAGAGCAGTCACTTGGTGCGCTAACGGTGACCTACAACTTAACACATCCAAAACCTTAGAGGTCATGGTGGACCTCAGGCGCTCACAGGATCACAAATCCCCCATCTCCATCAACGGTCAACAAATAGCCATAACCGACTAATTTAAATTCCTGGGCTCCTATATCTGTAGCTCTCTAAAATGGCACATCGCCACAGACCATCTCATCATGAAGGGACATCAGAGATTGTACTTCTTCAGACAATTAAGGAAGTTTGGAGTCAGTCAACACCTCCTTGTCCGATTTCTACACAGCCATTAAAGAAAGCATTCTGACATCTTCTATCTCCGTGTGGTACAGAAGCGTGGACATCCTAACAAGAAAAATACTTCAACGCATTATGAAGGCATAGACGATCACTGGCACTGCTCTCTCCTCAGCTGAATCCTTGTACACCCAACATACCACCACACGCGCTAACAAGATCATTGTGGATCCATCTCAGCCCGCACACGACTTATTACGTGCACGTAATATAACAAATTACGTGCCCCCAACCATCAAAAACTTAGTATTGTGGTTTATGTCATGTATCACATTTATACTGATTTGTCCATGTTTACATTGCAGGGCATTAATTCAGCATTTTATTGCATATTCGATGATGGAGTGAATTTTAATGTTCTGTATTGTGTACAGCCTCTTGTCGTCCTGTATTTTAATAATCTGCATTGTATATTGTGCAGTCTGGTCCTGTGTTTATATTCTGTATGTTATTGTCACATGTCAAATGTCTGTAGCAAAGCTGTACCAACAACAATTTCCACCGGCCTTGGTCGTGTGGCAATAAAGATTCTATTCTACTTGTTTCAGTTCATATTAAATCTCTACGGGCTTGACAGTATATCCCTTTCTTGCGGTAACGATGCCGCCCTGTAGCCTGGTCAATATTGGGATAGGAGACCTGCAAGAAAGACTACGTTGCTGTTTAAGGTGATGATGGTGGACCAATAGGTGGTACAGTTTCCTCTGCACTACAGTTGGCTATCTAATGCCACAGTGTGGTGCGTGTATCTACTGCAGGAGGTACCAGCCTTATGACAAGATGTTAAGCAGAGTAGAGGAGTTTATTACCTTATGTACATGTGCATTGGATCTCTTGGGACAGAAACAGCACAGCAGACAACACCACACAATGCAGCCAGCACATGACAAACATGATAAATATATAGCACTGAAAAAAACATGGTGGACCATTCAAAGAGTGCATAGTGCAGACGTGCATTGAGTCTGAGGCCCTGCTGCGAGCTGTTGAGGATGCGTACTGCAGTAGGGTAGAAGCTGTTCTTGAGTCTAGTGGTCCGCGTTTTAAGAGCGCAGAGTGGGAGAATGGTCTGTGGAACATAAATGAGAGAGGTACATATGAGACACCGCCTTCTTGAAAACACGTGAAGTCCTGATAACCTGGTCATTAAGGATTCGTGGTGCTGTTTGCAAAGGCAGGGGCCTGGTTACCCCCAGTGTCCTGGTATCATTCCACTATGATCTTGGACAATTGGCCTCCCAGCGGTGTTGCCCATAATTGAGCTAATGAAGACATTCCTGCGTCTCCCCCGTGATCTGCTGTGCTCTGGGGCTGATGGCAGAAGCTGCAGTCATGCACGAGCCAAATGGCACTGTGTATCGGGGCCAGACCAAGCAGGTCTCTTCTTGTGTGAACTATACATTAGGGTCCTTGAGGATGAATCCACTATATAAACTCAAAGAATTATGTTCTTCTGTTGTAATACTGCACTCCATGATGCATGGAGTTCGTTAATGAAGGATACCTGCTGTGCATTTCCAGCTACTCATTCTGCTCCTCAGCCCAGACTGCAGTGTTGCTAGTGTGTCCTCAGCCTTCCTCATGATGACTTGCTCATGAATCTGTCTTTGCAGCCACTGTGCGATATGGGAGTCATTCGAAACGGATGTTTATCATCAAGCCTACCAGGTTCTATGACTCGCGTTTCCTTCGTTCATTGGTAAGTGTCCTCCCCTATCATTGCAGGTGCTTGTCCCGTCCTGTGACTTGCAGCAAGTAGATCGCTAGTGCTCATGAGAAGTCTGGTGTGATGGAGCCGAGTTGTTTCGTCTTGGGACAAAAGCACAGAGGGTTTGACTCAAGAATTCAAGGCCCTGTTGACAAACGTTGATTTATGGTTTACTTTACTCTCAGCGGTGACACAAAAACACAGCTGGAGGTTACAAGGAAGTGGTTTTAAGACTGAGAACAGGCATCCTCTTTACACCAAGAGTGGTGGTGTCTGGAACAACCAGCTCTGACACATTAGAGCTCATTGCATAGGAAGCTTAAACAGGTGGCTAAATGACACACTCATCCCAATCACCCACTAGCAACCGGAAGACCCCAGTGTGTCAAACAACCTCTTAGTCGATGTTTTTCTGCGGCAGGATAACCAAGATTTTTTTCCTTTGCAGTACTTCTACACACTGTTAACTGGCATTCCAGTCACTGTGATCATCACGTGTGTGAATGTATTTATCGGTAAGTTTGTGAACTTAAACTGGACTGTTCAGATTTGTTTTAAAGACTTATAGTCATTTAAAACAAGGGGAATGTGTAGTAGTGTCTGAATTGTGTGTTGTAATTTGCCATCTTGTGTAGATTCTGCAAAATGCTGGGAGGGATCTTTTTATCTGTGTAATTCCATCTAAATCCTTAAGATGCCAGTCTCGTCTTCCTAGAAAAAATGCATTTAAAAAATAAGTAGTGTATCAACAGGCTGCTGGTTATGAAGTTTCAAGTGGCAATTGTCTCAACAGGGCAAGCGAAACTGGCAGAAATCCCAGAAGACTATGTCCCAGAACACTGGGAGTATTACAAGGTATGTTGCCTGTTTCTTTCATCGAGGACATTAGTGCTGACATTCTTGTTTAATGACATGTTAGTAGAAGGCTGTACAGGAAAAACGCTTAAATGTGCTATTACGTTGTGAAAAAAAAACTGTGTCCCTGGAATTTCAGGATTGTTCTGCGAGAAACCCTGCAACTCTGCCGTCTTTCCTGTTAGATTTGAGATGCAGTCAGGCCGGGCCTGATTAATGCTTCAGAGTCCTCATAGTAAGGAAGTGGTCCTAGTGTGCCAATAGGTGGCACTCTCCCATCTAGACCAGATTTCCAAACTCTCTGAAGTGATAACATGTCAAAAACGGGTCATTGTTCTGTAGGAAGTACCCCTTCAGTCTGAACCCGGGTCTCTGCAGTCCCAAATCCAGTCTGGAATTGGGGACCCCTGAGCTTGAAGGAAAATCGGAGGTTTTGTCAGGACCATGTTGGATATTGTGCAGTAGCAGGGATATTAATCCCCAGTTTGGAGACCAAATATAAAAGGGTTACAAAATCTGTAATACCTGAAGTCCACATCTGTACCTTAATTAAGGTTGATGTCTGTATCCAGCCTCCCCTAGAGACCCATACTAACCAGGTCTTGCTCCGTGGTGAAAGAGGAGTTTAATTGTCACGGAGGATGTGATCGTGAGTTTCACTTTGCCCTGGACACGCCCATGAGGCAGCGCGGGTTGGCTCGGTGTGGTAAACAGTTCCACATGGGGGGTGTGTTGAAGGAATGAGTCTGCTAGTGATAATCTGCTTCGAGCCCCCAGAGTGGCTCATGCTGTGAAGGTGCTCACCTGTCTGCAGGCTGGGCCCCACGATCACGGGTTCGAGCCGGGGGTCACACCACCAGCCCAGCATGACTGGGATTCGCAGAGGGTGGGGTGGGACTGAGTCTGTGGGCACCACAGCGCCTCCTGTGGCCTCCTGGGGCGCTTGCAGGCCTGCGGTGCAGTCAGCGAGGGGACGTGCCTCCTCCAGTCGGCACTGGCCCTGCAGGGCGGGGCGGTGCTGCCTGTGACGTGTTCAAACACAAGGGGCTCAAACGGCCGGGGGGGGGATCCCCCTGCTCTTCCTCACACTCCCCCGTGTGCAGTCACAGGGCAGCTGGCGATTCTAAACTGGGCGGGCAAAACCAAATTAATCTCTGAAGAGGAAAGCTGACAGTCAGCTTGTAGATGGACCCGTGCAGAACCAAGAGGTTCCTCTGTCCAACGTCCCCGGTCTGTCCGTCTCTCTCCTTCAGCACCCCATCACCCGGTGGATCGTCCGGAACTTCTACGACCCGCCAGAGAAGGACTACGAGAAGATGATGGCTTTGATCCAGATTGAGGCGGAAAAGGCCGAGCTGAGGTCAGTGGCGGCGTGGAGACTGGGGAGCCCCTCCGCTCTCTGAAGCGGCTCCGTGGAGCTTGTCCCCCCTGCTCAGCTCGGCGAGGGGTCTGACTGAGCGGGCTCTCCCTTCTTCGATACTTCAATACTGCCCGTGACATCGAGAAGTAAAATCCCTGTAGCAGTTATTGTTTCATGCCCTTAGCAGACCCCTTGTCATCGTCCTTGTGTTTTGGGGGAGTCCTGGCTGACGTTGGTGTCTGTGTGTGATTGCGCGTGCCTGGGGGGCGCCCCTCGGCCCATCGTTGTTCCGGCTGTCCCGGCGGGGGGCGGGGGGCAGGGGGACCCACTCTCCAAGAGTAACGCGTTGCCTTTGCTTGCGCCACAGGCTGAAGCAGCAGGAGGTGCGCAGGCACATGCGCCAGAAGGGCGACGGGCCCTGGTTCCAGGTGGAGACCATGGACAAGCAGCTGATTGACTACTCCCACAAGGCCACGCCCGACAACTGAGGCAGCGCCGGCCTTCCGCGAGCCGCAGAGACCGCCGCCTGCTCGCCCGCTCGGCGGGGGCATGCCAGTAATTTATCCCCTGTATATGTTTGTATAATAATGCTCTGGCTTTAAATAAAGCCTTTTCAATGTTTCAGCTTTGTTTAAGAGTGCTGTTTAAAACTGTGATCCCCTGTGGTCCCTGTCCTGCTGACCCGGTTCTGCTCCATCCAAACCCTCAGGTGCACAGTCAAGTCTTCATTCACTTAATATGGGGCGGAGCGGTGGCTCTGTGGCTAGGGATCTGCCTGTGGCTGGAAGGTTGCTGGTTTGTTACCTTAATCCATTGAGCGCCTGAGCAAGGGCCTTAACTCCAACTGCTCCAGGGGCGCTGTATAAACGGCTGACCCTACCCTCTGACCCCCAGCTTCTCTCCCTGTCTGTGTGTCTCATGGAGAGCAAGCTGGGGTCTGCGAAAAGACAAATTCCTAACACAAGAAATTGTATACGGCCAATAAAGTGATCTTATCTTAATAGTTAATTTGAACTGTGTCCAACTCTTACACACATTCAAGCTTTAACCAACATAGCCTTTTTCGATTTACATTCTCAAGCTTGTGACTACTAACAACACGCCAATGTTGAACTGGAGCAGCTCCTTGTTGATCCAGTAAGGCCTCAGTTATCTGCTGGAGGTGGGAGGGACTGAAACCCAACAGGTGTGGGGCTCACCAGACCAGCACTGGGATCTACTAGATTAAAGAGAGAAAACTATTCATTTTAAAAAGATTTAGAACGTTTCCTTTCATTTTTGAGCTGGTCACTTTTTTTTTGTCCCAGGAAGTGATGGCAGTTTTGTCTGTTTTTGTGCTCTTAAGGAGATGGCCACCTGCTCTGCCCACACGTCTTTTGTCAATTAGATGTGATGCTCAGGGTCTATTACAGGGGTGCCCAAACTTTTTTTTTTTAATGAAAGATCTACTTTTTCATGTGCCAGTCCCGCGCGAACTACCAGTGTGAATTTGAAGCTCTGATATAGGAAAAACAGACTGTGGACACATCAGTACAATAACTATACCCATCACTAAAATGACAGCAAGTAAAAGCAAGTGACTCAGGCTACAGTGAACAAGTCATGTTCCCCATTTTAGAAAAAAAAATATCCTACCTTCATGTCAGCATTGACACTGAGAAGCTTACTTGAGGACACTTGTAATCATTTTTTTTTTTAGCGTGTTGACACTGCTGATCGTGTCGATGACACTTTTATTGTGTCCCTGCAGCTCAACATTCAGCTCATTCGGCAGTTCAGTCAAGTCTGGGAGGACTGCTAAGCCCAGAAGCCACTGGTCGTCCTCTCATTGGGCATATTCACATTGTTTAGACTGTTTGAGAAACTCTCATTTCAGGCAATAGCTGTCTGTCTGAAATCTCCAAACAGCAAGTCAGCAGCAGCGATGATTGCTGGTTTCCCTCCAGCATTAAGCCACGTTAAAACCAACTGCTGCTAGTTGAGATTTTAATTTTTCAACTTTTCTTTTCCGTAACTCACTTTTAGTGGGGAAAGCCCACATCCTACATTTTGTGTGCAGTTTTGAAATGTGGTTCTCAGTTTCCCTTTTTCGCGTAGACGCTAGCTTTGCAGATTTGAAAGCGAAAGTACAAAAAAATAATCGCGCCCCCATTCCTCGTGGTGAGGGTAAGTCTTCGGGCTCTTTGCTTCATCGTTTTCGCTCAAACACTACAACTATCATAAAAAGGGCAATCTAACTCCTCAAACTGTTGGCGAATTTGTCACGGCCATTTGTCTGGTTCGCTCCACCATGTGCTGTGGCGAATGTGGGGTTCGTGCAGCAATAGCCAAGGGAGCAGTCTCGGGGAGCCCACCCAACACTACAGAGCACCTGTAGCCTTTTCTTCAGTGTGGGCCAGCACTCAGGGAAGAGACTCTTACAACCCATTCCACAAGGGTTAAGCACACGCAAGGGCAGTAAAATGTATGACATTACATGCACAGATCTGAATGAATTTTTAGGCTATCTAAAAAAGTAGTCAAATAGCCCATTTATTTTATACCACACATTCTTGCGATCGACTGGTTGGGCACCCCTGGTCAATTACCCAAGAAATGCAAAACAGGCACTTAGAACTGATCTTTACTTTATCCGAGGAGAGCGACACTCTGGTAAACTCGATAATCCAAAAAGATCATCATTAACACACAACTGAGTGAGAGAAGCCCTAAACCAGACTCGTGGTTGTGGCGCTGAAGCTGTGAGATGCTGCTGTCTGGCTGGTCAGTCACTGGCTTTCTTTGTCTGGTGTCCAAGACATTTCTGGGAAAGCAGTCTGCTCCTCTGTGTGATCAGCAGGAAACAGGTGAATATCGGGTCGGATGTGAAATTTTCATGCAGCTCGTAATAAGCCCTGTCCCCACGCCCGCCTTGGACTCGACGTCTGATCCACCCGAGGTTCAGCAGAATCGATTTACACTTTCATATATGTTCGGTGCTTTAAAAGACGTGTTGACTGGTCAGCCGGGTCCGAGGAAGCGGAGTCGATTCGGGGCGTGTTCGTCCAGTCCATCTGAAGGTCTGCTCTCTTTGGGGGGCGTAATTCGCACAAAGGACAATCGGGTATTTAAGATAAAAAAAGGTCGAACGCTGTTTTAAAAAACACCTTATACGGGCAGGTCATCTTACCCCCCACCTCACGTGAGCTAATCGCTAATCAATGACCAGTGACCGCGATGAAGGAGTTAAAAAAATTGTAACATATCCTCCGTTAGAACTCTTACCTCTTTATAACCTCTTACCTCTTACCTGCTTTATTCGTCGGGTTTCAGCACCGTCCGGCGCTGCTATATTGTATATTGCCGCATAACCCCGCCATGCGGAATTTGCAACCTCATCTGAGCGGTGACCAATTTCGTTTTGAAGTTAAAGGACCGTTTCCACGCCGCGGGCGGGCGGGCTTCGTCGGTTTTGTCACGCACCGTCGCCAAATTGATTACAAACGCCGAAACCACGAGTCTCCTTTCAAACGACGCGCCTCCGCCGAGGAAGGTGGGAGACGCGGAATTGGGTAAATTGACAGTCGGCAGCGCCAAATTCACGGCGAAACAGAAATCGATTTAAACCCAACAGGGAGGTTAAGAAATACCGCCCGAGCACCTAATATATAGCCCGAGCACCGTTACAATATATATATGTGTTCAATTTTAATCTCGCTCTCCTCCTCCCCCCTCGCTTCACAGCGTCACTCTCCCGGATCCTGCAGGAATGTCGGGTCTGTGTTCATTTAAAAATAGCATCATGTGCTAGCTGCTCTCCCAGACTTCCAGCTCCGTCTCCCTCGCTCGCGGTAGCATTCTGGGGCTGGAGGCAGGAATGCGAAGATGGCTGCAGACTTGGGAGAGCTGCTGGTCCCGTACATGCCCACCATCCGAGTCCCCAGGACCGGGGACCGGGTTTTCAAGAGCGAGTGCGCCTTCTCCTACGACTCCCCAGTAAGTGCTCGGCGGTGCCGCGCAGGCGGCCGTGCGGCCCCGCTGGACACACGTGAACCGCGCTGCGCACGGAGGGGGACCGGGGGTCCGTGTCCGTGTCCGTGTCCGTGTCCGTGTCCACCATTCTCTGCGCACCGGGGCTCGACCAGCTCGCAGCGCCGGCTGAAATAACTCACCCCGTCCTGCCCTCCCGGTCTCCCTGCCTTGAGCACTGCTAAGACGGCGGTTGTGCGATTCTCGGTTATCCCACCCCCCCTAACAGTCTTTGGTTTTCGAGTGCGGGCACAGCTTTGAGTCCAAACTTCCTCCGCGGAGAGAGAGAGAGGGTTTTTCAGCACTGCCGCCGGAATGCGGTAGGGATCTGTAACTTCACGCATGCAGACTATAATGCGTTTTTTTTATTTTTGAGAGAGGCGCAGACAGCTTCCCCGAGTCGGTTTTTTTTTTTTTGCTTTGTGATTTGTGATTTGACAGCGCCCTGCTCGTAAAGATTGAACGCTTTTCGAAAACGGGTCATCCGCAGCGCTTCTTCTGGGCTCAAATTTTCCTGGAGTGAGGGAGCCCCAAAGACGTGCCCGTTTCGTGTCTGGGCTGGCGAAACCCGCGTTCGCCTGCTCTTAGACGCGAAACAAGGCATGTGGTCTAGTTCTTCAGTATACAGCGGTGTAATGTCACCTTTTGTTGCAAAATGTCACGCTGAACATGAACGCTGAAAGGGACAGCATTTCCAGAGGAGCAAGGGAGGAGCAAGATTTAACCTTCAGGAACCACGTGTTGGGGAATATTAACCAAAACCAACACTTTATATAAGTCAGTTCAGTTTCTTGTGTTTTTAAGGACGTTGCCCTAACTTTCTATGTATTATTTTATAAGCTGGGGCAGATTTAAAGGTGACTCAGCTGTCAGGTACTCCTCATGTCGGCTGGAAAGCCTGGGCTATTTTTAATCTCTTTTTCAAATGGCTCATGTATCGCCCACCCAACTCCATTAACCCTGGGGTCTCGTCCAGCTCGTCCAGCCTATCGCCACCAGGGACAGAAAGGAGAAAAAAAAACGATTGCGATGTTGTTTCCTTTACAAAAGAAACTTTAAAAAAAACTCGCAAGTCTTTTCTACCACAGGAGACTAGGACACATTAGAATAAATTAAGATGATTTCGGATGTATGGTGTAGTTAATTCGATAACTTCTCCTGTCCGGCCTTGTCTTGGTTACCAGGAGGGATTTATACTGAAACGCACATTACTGTGGGCTGTAAATCCTGTGGTAATCTGCTGAGGGCTTCACACCTGAGTTGCTGTTTTTTTAAATGTATGTTGTGGTTTCTATTGTAGGATTGAGCAGGTGCTCCTGGTTCTTTTTAAATGACAGGTGTTTCTTGGGTTTCGCTGAGATAAAAACATTCACAGTGGGCTGGAACAGACGTCTTGTAGCCACAACGTGTCCATGCGCTCATCCAGCCCTCTGGAAAAGAGTTGGTCAGGCACACTTTTCTGTTTTATAACAGGAGGACTGTTTTATTTCTAGAATGATTTAGGCACTTAAATCTCTGATACATATTCCTCTGCAGAATGAGGCACATTTACTGTCTAACTCAGCAAAGTTTCTTTGCATGTCAGCTGACTCTGAGCTAAGTGTTATGAGTTTTCATTCATCGTCCATCTGAAAATTTATCGATGAAGTCAACCCAGCAGACATCTTAAAAAAAGTGACCAGTGAAACCTGAATGGGTGCACCTGAGTGGAACTGTGTGTTTCCCCACTCTGATATTGAAGTTAGAAATGGCTGTAGCTCTGCTACATGGAAAATGGCTGAATTGATTGAATTAAGGTTTGACAACACCGACGTCTCCGCTTCTCAGTGGCCTTAAGCTGCTGATGAAGAGACAGAGGCGAGACAGGTTCCAGATTCCAGGAGGTTAAGTGCCAAACTAAACAGTTGGTCTTTCTTATAAATCTGTGTTGACTGTTTATTACAATCTGATTTCTAGACAGGTGATCCTCTCCTTTCGTTCTGAAACCATTTCCGTAACGTTTCATGTGCCGGGTGCTGGGTGTGGTGGTCAGTAATTTCCCCGAGTCAGTGTTTGTCACCCTCTGAGGGATGTGTGCTACGCTGCAGTACAGACCTTTGTCCTTCCGCTGCCGGAGGCCTGTTGTCGACGTCTTCTTCAGTGAATACTTGAATGAAATCCTCATTTAGTACATCAAGTTTCAAGTTCAAGTTTCAAGTTTATTGTCATTACACTCATATACATGGTATATGGTATAACGAAATGCTATTTAGCTAGCTCTCGGACATAAGTAGTACAAAGAGAAAAACAACAACAACAACAATACAATTGTGTAGCAAAAGAAAGACAGAGACAACAGGCAGTGTGCAAAAAACAACAACAGACGATGTGCAAAAAAACAAAAAAGGTAACAGGTTATGTGCAAAAATATGCATCAACAGAATAAAATAAAGGGATAGAAATTAAATTACATCAGCCCCTGTCTAGAAGTTTCCTATTATTGTCTCGGGTATATTTTACTTCATCCTTGACATTTCTTTACCTGCTGTAACACTGAAGGAGCTCTTTATTCACCTTTTACTTTTTAGCTTCCATTAGAATATTCTTTTCAATTCTCTCTTGGCCTTTCTAATATCCTTTTACCCATGTGTTTGCAATTGATTGTGCTGCCTTACCTTAGCTAGATCCTGTTGTTTTTTTAATTGTTTCTCAGAGCACATTCTTTTCCTTTATTTTTCTAAGCCATTTGTTGAATCTTTCGGGATGGGATGTCATTTTTTGGCTCTTTCTCCAGTTCCGGGAGAGATTGAGTTCTGTGCTTGAAGCAGAATCTCTCTCGGCTCTTGCCACGCGCTCTCCACCGGCTTCGTGTCTTCGCCCGTTTTACTTCTCTCGACCTGCCCCCTTCGAAGTCTGCTTTCTGGGGATTGTAAACTTTTGCTCTGGATTTAACAAGTAGGGTTTTCGAAATCTACTTCAAAGCACATTGCACTATGAGCTGAACCTGCTCGCTGAACGAGCACGGGCCGTGTTTTCTGACTTGTACGGAAAGTAGCGGTGAAATCCCCCGATTCGCTTGTCTCCCGGAAGACAGAGGGAGCCGGGCGAGAGCGTCACAGTCTGTACAGTCATGGCTGCTCTACCGTCTCAGGCCATCGCTGCGCCGCTGCTCTGCGGTTTTCCACTGGATGGAGGGTATCTGAAGAGGGGCAGGGGCTAACGGAAGAAAGCCGGGCCCACGCTGGCATGGCGGACGGGCGGGCTGAGACCCCGAGCTGGGCTCAGCACAGTGCCGGTCCCTGCGGGTTCCTCCCCTGCTCTCCTGTGGTGTGAGACAGCCCATCCAGGGTCTGGCCTGGTGGCCTGGGTAGCTCAGGCTTGTGTACCAGCTCTCAGGTGTCAGCCATGTGCTGCAATAGCCCAGTGATGTCAGCTGCTGTGACTCTGGTGGCCAGGAACCCCCGTAGCCATAAACACTCCAGGGAGGGGAGCAAACCGAATTCAGCCTGTCTTTGAGCAACAGAGGAGAACGGAGACGCTTGAGCTTTTCAGTGTGAAATCCATATTATGGCGATTACTCCGTGGTGTGATTTTCCTCTGGCTTGTGCTGCTCTGTGTGACATATACTGACACACAGTGGGGAAACACGACAATCCGACAAAATCCTGGAGTTTGTTGGGCACAAGCGTAATGCCACGTGCACGTTAAATAAAGAGCAGTTTTCTGATTGTTTGAGTTGTATTGCTCCTCAGGATAATGAAGTACTGAGCTCAAGTGATTTAATTTCACAATATTGCCAGGTGTCCAGTTTTCAGTTTTTGAGTAAAAGTGACAGAATGATTTGATTGAGAGTTTATATAAATAGACATGATTTTAACTAATTCAGGAACATGACAGATACGTTCGTGCCCTTTTTGAGTGATGAGATCGGCTGTCTGACACCCATCTGTGAGAGAAGAATGAGATTCGGCTTCGATTAGCGCAGAGGAACCGGGAAATGGGCTCTGAGGGACATCCTGAATGACGGAGAGTCATCACACCAGTCCAGGACCGTCACATCTGTCAGACAATCCAGCGACAATTTTTTAAACCTAAGTATTTCAGTTTAAAATGTGTCGTACAGAAAGTAAAAAAGCATGACAGTGGGTCTGTTCCTGTTTTTCCCTCTAGGAGTCTGAAGGAGGCCTGTACGTGTGCATGAACACGTTTCTGGGCTTTGGCAGGGAACACGTCGAGAGGCATTATCGCAAAACCGGGCAGTGTGTGTACATGCATCTGAAGCGCACGATCAAAGAGGTAAGAAGGGGAAAACAAAACCTTTTTTCTGTTGTACTCATTTTAATTTTAATTAATTAAAATAAATAAATTTTATTTAGTATTTATACTTCTGCATAAATACAAAGCAGCTATGACTGGACAGCTTTTGCTGTTGTCTAAGAAAAAGTTGATTGCTGTCATCCGGGTTAATTGATGTGCTTCCAGATGGTGTCGTGGGGCCCAGTGTTTGTCCCCCAGTAACCCTGTGTAACTGTGCAGGTGGTGGTCTAGGATAGGCTGTCAGTACATGGAAAACCGATTTGGCACTTTACACAGAAGACAAGTCCATCATGGGGGAAAAACAGGGGGTGTCCTAGATTAGTTTTTTAGCGTTTTCTGTCCAATCTCTTCATAAAATCGATTACGTCTGTGCCGTTTCAGAAAGACGGAAAGCACCTTCACACATTCAGCACGGGATGTATAGATGTTGCTCAATTCAAAGTATCCATTCTCCCGCAAGAAATGGAATATTCCGTTGTCTCCTCGGTGCGACCTCAGTTCTGCTCAGGTCACCGGGAGCTTATTTTGGGAGAGTCGTAACATAAAACACGTTACATCTGGAGCTGCGGCGATTGCATTTCAAGCCAGTGTTTGTCTTCATTTTTAGTGTTTGATAATATTTTAGTCATTTTTGGGGGATATTTCTAAAACTGGGGGACGTTGGAGCCTCTTTCCCGTTCGGAGGGGGTAGGATGGGTGTGGGATGTCCCGGGAGACGTCTGGCCCCACGCTCCGCCCAGGTGCAGCAGTCCGGGCTCTGAGGTCAACATTGGGCGCTACAGTCCCTTGCTGTGGTGTGGCAGGGAAGCTGGTGCTCTAAGTGGACCAGATATTCGGATCCCCCTCGATGACGGGCTGGGCCTCAGCTTGCAACAGAGATGGCTCGACCCAGACGTGGCGAGCCCCGTGAAACGTTTCCAGCCCAGCCCCTGCCTGTTCCGGAGGCAGGGTTACTTTCAGCGGAGGTCCGGCACGCATCGTGCCCTGCCCTTGTCCAGCAGGAGTTCTGCCCAGAGAAGGAGATGACCGTCTGTCTCCATCTCCTCGAAACCGCTCAGGCCCAGTCAGGCCCTTTCAGCCGC